GTGAGAAAAGCAGTTTCATAGAGTGGGCTCAGGTGAGGACAGGAAAAGGGAAAGCAGAGACCATATAAACGCCTCTTGGGAAATTTTGCTTCTTACAGAACAGAAATTAAGGACGAACTCAGGGAGGGTGGTGGGTCCATGGAAGGGGTTTGTTTGCTTTTCATAGAAAATGTTATTCAAGCAGTTTTCAAGAGGGCTCCAGTAAAGAAGGAAAAACACACAATGAAGGAGAGAGAGTTTAGTGTAAGTTACTGGGTTGCTACCAATTGAGCAAAAAAGAAGTCTACTTTTAGGAGGAAGGCTTTGGAAATAGGTAATATTCTTTTAGTATATTATTAGATTTGAACACAAATGCATTGTATTTTCTGAACTGTATTCTTGGTAATCTGAGATATGTGATGGTAACAACAGCAGGGTGTGTTGTATTTTAAGAAAACATTTCCAGAGTGAAGAGAGAGGGAGGTCTGAACTAAAGTTAAATTTTGCATCTCCAAAAGTGTACTGACTTCATCATCAAAGAAATAAACATGAAATTATTAATTATATCTCAGTTCTGGGACTACTGTACCTTTCCGTAACCCCCATTTGTTTGGATTTCATGATCATTCAGGTTCACAGTAACTAAATTAGCCTCCACAATGTATGTGGAAAAGGGATTGAGAGAAAACTAATAAGCAAATGAAATTTCCCACGATGTTTACCATCCTTTTACAGAACTGTTTCCAAGCTCCATACAAGCAGTTCTTTAGCACGTAGGTGTGCAAATTACAGATGCTCCTCTCCCTTTAGCAAAGTTGGCAGCCACTTTTCAGCCTTTATCAGGAAAAATGAGAACTTCTCTAATAAGAAATCTGCAAGGTTAATCTCTGGCGCATTTTACCAGAAATGTGTTGGCAGTGATGTAGTTTACTGAAGGCACAAGTGCCTACAACAAAGTTGACCAACCGCAAATGATAACAAATAGCAGTAATTAACGTTCCTATAGTGCTTTACCATTTGCCAAGAAATACTGAACACATTCTGTGATTCCATTCACTTAGTAAACATGTCTGGCGGCCTTCTGTATTCTGGGTCCTAGACATGTAGCTGTCAGAACGTTCCTGCACGTGTGAAGCTTAGCATGAGCTGCACAAGAACCAGGTGAAATAAGTAAGCCAAGTGCTATTACTATTCCTCTTTACAGATGAGGACATTCTAAGGTTTAATTAAAACTTGGATTTAAATCCCTTCTGTTCTAGGAATTTGAGCCCCCAATGAAATTTTATCGCTGATACTTTTCTTTCTCAAAGCTTTTGAACACTCAGTACTTCAATGCATATTGTACCCTGAAATACTATCTTCATAAATATAATGAAATTCTGCAGTGGAAACTCTTTTGCATTTAAAAAGTTCATTCTAGCACTCAGCCTAGTAATCATGTGTCTAGAAGAGGAGCCATTTATAGTTGGTCCACCTTAAATTACTGCTCTATAAGCCTGATAAAGTATTTACCACCAATGGAATTACTGTGATATCTGACATGTACCAGCTTTAAAAAAAAAAAGCCTCCATAAGTACAATACAATTAACTGCCTTTATCTTAAACTCTGTTTTAAAATCTGACTTTTTACCATTTGTGTTGAGTCGTATAGTTGTTGGAAATGAGAGCAGTTTTACTTTTTCTAAATTTGAACATAGCTTATAAATGAAAAATTATTGTAACTTCTTTAAAAATTATATGAGTCACATAGGAACTCTCTTCAGTAGAAGTGGGTTTTATTTCTTCATTGGGAAAACTTTACATGGATTTTTTTTAAATAAAAGAATTATAGCACTAGACCTTCTCTCCATCCTTAACTCTCTGGTAACTTCTGTGACTGTGGAAGACTGACTCGTGTAGCAGGGTACTCGAGGGGCATTTCCTGTAGGTACTAAGTACCGCACACTCTAGAGAGAGAGCTGCTGCTGATGGACCCTGATACCCTGCTTGGGGTCTGCCACGAGGTGGCAGCTCCCACCCTGCACAGTCAGCTCCCTGTCCCCAGAGGCAGAAGATTGAGGCTGGGGGCTGGGGGGGCAGAGGACTATCTGAGCCACTGTGGAAATTGCTGGGGCTTTTTCTCCCTTCCCAGGGGAGAGGAGGGAGTGCATCCCCATGTAATACAAGCCTGGGGGATGGGCTTCAAGAGGAATGCTCACCTAGGGTGGGAGAACATGCCAGAAGGGGGAAATGGCGTCTCTCTCCCTAGTTGGACTTCTGGGAGCAGATGCATGTAAACCAACCTGAGCTGAAGAAGAGAGAATTGGAGGGAGACATCCTGGCAGAGAGGGGGAGTGGTAGCCAAGCAGCCCCTCTGCATGGCGAAGATGTATGTATGTGATGCGGTGGGCGTGCAGGAGGCTGGGCATGTGCCCTCTCCCCCGTGTCCCACCCCAGGGGCATGCATGTGTGCCAAGAGGGCTGCGTGGGGGTGGGCAGAAGTCTAACTAGGGATGGATTTCTCACATCAGAAACTGCAATAAGGACCCCACCCCTACCCCAGCAGAGCCCTCCAGAGAACCCACCAGGGTACAGTAGAACCCAGGGTGGGCAGCTCCTACGAGAGGGATCAGAGGCCAAGTTAGTGTTACCCGTGAGAAGCAGTGACAACCTGCAGGGAGAGTGCAGCCGAGTGCCAGTAGAGAGAGGACCTTGTCCTTCGTCGTACTACCTCCTTCCCACCTAACGA